CAAAGTGCCGAAGGCTGTTTGGAACCTCACTCCCATTGACTTGACTTGTCTAGGCAGTTTTGTAAGTCCTGCCAGGCACTCATCTGCATCTTTAAGCATCTCTAGGCCTCTGTAAATCTGGCTCTTTCTGCTTAGTCCATCGATGCCATTTCACTGATGAGTTCCAAATGTGGGTTTCTTGAGTCCTGTCTCCAGAGGGACCTGGCAGGCTTCATGGGTTGCCAGCTCCCATAAATATACCCTCAGATTGTGTGCACATATTTGGACGTTACTGGCATGTGTCTGCAGCTGGCCCATTCCCATTGCTTCGGCTGTCTGGGCCATTCCAGTTACACAGGTTTAAAGACATTTGCACCAAACACAAGCAGCTGTTTAAGTGTCCTATATAGGAAGAAGCAGGCCATGTGCTGAGTGCTTGTGTAGTGAGCCTTGTGGGCTGGGGGAGGAGGGAGGGAACATATCCTCCAGTATGGAAAGAGATGTAAGTATAAAATCACCCCTTGGTAGGACTATTTCAGCTCCTTAGCTCCATCTGTGCTAGGGCTGGTGGATCTGTTCAATGCTAGACTGTCTGGTTTTAGTCTCATTCCCCCTCTGGGCAGGCAGTGTTCCCAGATCAGAATGCACTGGTATATGTGAGCCTTGGGAAAGTAAACTCAGCTCCATCCTTAGGATCCAACACTCACCCCATCCTCACTATATGGCTTCTCCCTCTCCCCTCATATCAGAGCTGCACTGTCTCTGCAGCCAGGGGGACCTGTGTAACTCTGAAAACGATGCTTGGCTTGCTCCAAAATGCTGTAATGGTTTGCATTAGTCGTAGAAGGGCAAGCACATCTCTAATTTTGCCCAGCAAAATATTTAAAATGCTTTTATTTATCAGGGGACTGACTGCCTGTAAATGGTAGAGACCCTAAGAGAATGAGCTGTTTAGGTGGGATGCTCTGAGTAGTTCATCTGCCAAGATACAACCGCGGTGCTGAATCAGGTGTCTTAAGTGCAGTCTGGATGTTCAGGACTGCATCCAGGGAAACTGGTATTGATATTCGCTGTCCCAGGAACTCCCTGCAGTCCTCCTGCTTCCAGTGGAAAAGGAGGGGATTCCCTTTCTGAACATTTTTTTTTCTCTGTAGACCATTGTTTGTAGCAAAATAATAATTGTAAAATGTGTATTTGCTGGCTCCAATCAGGCATGTTAATGGGCTTCAAATCTCCTGTCCACTTTACTACTTCCTCCATAGTAAAAGATTGGGTTTTGATTCATTTGGAGAAGCTTTTGGTGACAGCTGACGTCTCTTCGTAGTTCTGCTTCAGGGGAAAATACCTGGGTTGTGTCAGTATGCACTGAGTGCCCATTCCAGAACATGGCAAGTGTTTGGCATGCTTACAGGAGCTTTCTCTCACAGTCTGGGTTGGGATAACATACTGCTAGCATCACCTTGGTTAACCTTGGCTGCAGCACAGTTTCCATCACTTGTCAGGTAATGGGCAACTTGGGGCATTCTGCAGTCTGTCCTCATTGAAAGTGTGTCCACAGCTTTGCAGTTTCTCTCGTGAAACTCCCAGCGTGACTCGGCCCACGGGCTAGCATGTAGCACTCTCAAAGCACTGTACTTAGGTCAGTTATTTGCTATTTCTTTTTTACAGAGAGGGAATCCATGGGTGTTTATACACGTGCTCCAGGAGTGGCAGGGGGGTGCTCTAATTAAAGCTCCCAGGGTGTCACATGTCTCAGTGTCCTCATGCTGAAAAATGCCAGTAGGGGCGCTTTAACTAAAGCTCGTCGAGGGCGCTCTGATTACAGCTCGTCACCACCGTTTTTCGGTGCAGGGACACTGATACACATGATGCTGGAGTCTGCTGGAACATGGTAATTACAGTGCTCCTGCAGGCTCGATTCATCAAGTCTGCTCCAACGCACTGGAATTACAGTGCATCAGAGCAGCCTTGCTGCATGTGTATAGGCATCCCAGAGGTCCAACTGCCCCGGTCTCCTGTATCATACAGTGGCAGAGGGTGGATGCTGGAAGGCAGCATGAACAGGGTACGGCCACGGTTTTTCCACTGTTCCTCTCCCACTTGCAGCCTCCAGCATTTTAGGTCTAGCTGTAGGAAGGTTAAGTGGCCTAGTCTGGATAGCAAACAAACCTGTGTCAGTCTGAATTGTATCCCAGCTCTGTGCTGTAACTACTGTGGGGGGTTGGGGGAATTAATGAACAAGGACACAAACCTACAGAGATTTTGGAAGAGGGGAAGAATATTTTGGATTCCCTCCACTTCAGAATAAATCGTTGCAGTCGTCTACAATTTACAACACAAAAGAAGCTTTTGCATGAGTATAATTAGCAACATATTGTCCCACCACAGGAGAATTCTCTTTGTCTGCTGTGTTACAACAAAGCAGAGAGCTCGTTTCCCTGCTCGGCCAGAGACACCCGCCCTCCCCAAAACTGGCTTTGAACAAGTATGTTGAAATCCCAAACCAAATCTCTGGCTCTCATTGGATTATTGACTGAAGAGGCTTGGAGGGGGATTTAGAAGTATAGGACCCCACTGAGATCCCACGGAAATCAGTAGCAAGACTCCCTGGGACCAAATGCGAACAGCACCTGTTCTTTGAGAGAAATCTTTTCACCTTGCTTCCCGCACAGGGTGTGAAGGGGCCAGCTGGCAGCCGAACCCGTGTGGGCGGTAACATATGGAGAGCCATTTGAAGACAGACATCTCTTCAGGGGTTTGCCAAGCCCCAATAAGAAAGGTGATTTGGGGGTCAGGGTTAGCTGACAGATCTGCAGCTCCATGAACTTTTCATCTCTGCAGGTCTGTGCCATGCTTATTGCCAACCTGAGTGCCAGATCTGCTGGCTAAGGGTACAAAAGCTGGAGGGGATATTCAGTAGCGTCTACAGACGGGGCTGAACTAGGGTCTGGGCAGCGCAGGCCTAGCTCATGGAATTGGCTGATGATGAGTTCAGAACATCAACTTTTATTTTTTGTTAAAGAGTTTCTAGGCAAGAGGCTACATGTAGAGGGCACAGGGCAGCCTTATGCAGCGTTGGCCAGGCTCTCTCTTCGTGTGCAGCACTGGCAGCACGGTGGCCGTGTTAGCCCAGTGCCATCCCTGGGCTACTGGGGTTTGCAAGCTTCTTAGCAAGGATAACCCAGGTGCAACTAGCTCCTCCCTAGGTTTGCAAAGAGCCAAAGAATATCTCCGACCGCTACTCTGAAACGTCTGCTACCGCCCAGAAGAGTGGGACCCTCTCCGGGCTTGAAGGCTTCTGTTATGGGCATGCCCGGTGCAACAGTCAGTCCTGAAGGGCAATGCCCACCCCACTTGCTCAGCCCGTATGATGGGGTTGAGGGTTTGCCCTTGGTAGCATTGAACTTTCTAAATAAAGTTTCTGCACGTATGTTTTTGAGCTAAGTTTAACAGTGGGGTGAAAGAAACCATTACGTATGCTCCGTAATAAGATGGGCTTGTTTTTTGGGTACAGGAGTGATTAGTTACATGAGAATAGAAAAATGTTTTTCCTGTTTGGTTTAATTAGCATAGAGCTTGCATTTCACATGGAAACTTGACAGGAGACAACAAATGTTCCTCATTGTTAGCCAGGAAAAACAAAGTAAGATGGCTGCATCCATTAGTTTGATGTCCTATCACCCAGCGATGGAGAGGCTGCTGTCAGCTTCAGCAGCCTGAGTACTTGGCTGAGAAAAACAAGTCTCTCCAAGAACCACCAGAGTAATAACTCATCAAAATCTTAAAATGGCATGTACCTTCCAGAAAACAGAGATTCCCAGAGCCCCAAAGGAAGCACTTGCATCTCTGAACCAGCTGCCAGACTGCATTGGCTTTTAGAAGAATGACTGTACAGCAACACACAAGTTTGCTTGTGTTTAAGGGCCCAATTCCAGCACCTTTACTCTGGGTCGATACCATACAGAAGAGAAGCAGCCTCTTACAGCTGGTTGTCCCCATTCTGTCATCAGCTCGTCTGTGAGCTATTAGACTGAAATGAGATGAAACCACGCCTGTGTCTTTGGTTTCAGCTTGCAAGTAAAACATTCAGGTTTGCATGACTGTTACTGAGAAAGCTGCCTCTTCTCTACCAATTCTCCTGCCACACCTGCTGCGTTCTGGACCCTCTTCCCTTGCTCGTTGAGCTGGGGTCAACAAAAAGGCCTGCTGCCCCCCATGAGGGTCTGCTGGAAGGTGGGGGTCCTGCCTGTCCACATGCTCAAAAGGAGCAGCCAAGCGTGAAACGTTCCTTCTCCTCCCAGCCACTGCCAATGTCTTTGCTAAGAGCCAGACCACATTATTTGGGAACTAGGGAACCATCAAGTTTCCCATCAGTCACGGAGAGCAGCCTGTAGTATCTCGCGGCCAGCGCTGGTGGGATTCAGCTGTGAGAGTGGGAGTCTTTCCTGAACAACAGCTTATGAAGCGGTTGGGAGTGTAAGAAGGGAGAACAGGTTGTGTTTTGTAACTCAGGTTCTCCTACAGGTGAGAGAACCCCTTACGCACATGCACACACTTGGTTTTAAGGACTAGAGGGAAAGGAAAATGCATGGGAACACCCAGGCCATAAGAGAAAGGAGAAGGTGCCTCTAATGGGGAGACGGGTTGGGAGACATCATTACA